AGAGGTCAGGTCTTTCTTCAAAATCTCAGTCTCTGTCAACACCACCTCCCTCTGCCACTGCCACTTCCAGCTCAGCTTCCGTACCAGCCTGCCAGAATCACTTCTCAGTGAAGTCACCCAAATCAGCATCCCCAGGGGGGCTCCACTTGGCCCTTCTGAGCACCCTCGTCTGCCCAGGGCCTCAGCAACACAGTAAGAAACCTGTGGGTCCAGGGTATGTGCTGGTATTCTGGGGTGCCGGACACCCTGACAGGAAAGGAAGGCAATCCAGGGAGGCTTCTTGGAGGAGGGGTTGCTGCTGTAAGTCTTGAAGATAAGCAGGTGGGAGCAGGGCCAACATCACCACCAGGCACAGAGAGCATAGAACCTGGATCCCTGGTGCCTTTAGAGACGACAAAGACATTTTACTTTAATTTCCCTTAAAACCAGAAGGAAAAAAAATAATATAATAATAATGAAGATTAAATAATATATCTACCATGGATTATATTTGTCTTTATATCAATAGGGTTATAAAATATAATTTAAAATTTTTCAATGGAGGAAAGGACTCCCAAATGCCGAAGTTGCTACACAAGTGGTAACGGGGCCACAGAATAGCGATATTAGGGAGTGACGCTCCTGGGCAAAGGCAACAACTCAGCCATGCTCAGACACTGAAGAAGACAGGGAAACAGGAAGTTGAGCCCAGGGGCGGAGGCAAGGCCTGGAGGCCAAGGGTCCCAGACTGTTCCCAAAGGAGCCCCTGGAGAGCAAGTTGGCCAGATGTGCCCATCAGGTACTGGATGAGTGGGGGCAGAGTCTGGGAGTATCACAGAAATATCATAGGTGAGAGGGGCCAGACTAGGTATTTGAAGGAAAGGGATCTAGAAGGGAGCACACATGAGGTTTGCTGATTGGCTAATGGGGAGGAGTATGGTGCCTGCTCTCTGAGGGACTGCGAGCGAGATGGGGATGACAGCATGGCGGTAGGAAAAAGACTCAGGGGGCTGTGGGGTGGATGCACAGGGCAGGCTATTATATTATTTTCTTCCTTCTGGTTTTAAGGGAAATTAAAGTAAAATGTCTTTGTCGTCTCTAAAAGCACCAGGGATCCAGGTTCTATGCTCTCTGTGCCTGGTGGTGATGTTGGCCCTGCTCCCACCTGCTTATCTTGAGTGTCTGGACTGAAGCTAGAGACTCAGGTTCATAGTCTGTAAAGGAAACCACAGAAGTCTTATGAAAGAGAAGAGTGCCTAGTGTAGAACCTACCCACTTACCCAGTCACCCATCATCCACTCATTCACCCGTCAGTCCATCCCCCCACCCATCTACCCCTCAACCCAGCCTATGTTTGAGGGGTGGGTGAGGCAGGAATGAGAGGCGAGGCTGATCTGAGGGGATGGTCTCAGGGCATGTGCCCATGAGTGAAGCTCATCTAATACATAGCAAGGCGTCAACTAGAAGCACTAAGAAAAATCCCAATGTATTGAGGCCAAAATCACGGTATCAAGCAGAAGCTGACAATTCGCTGAGGACCATGTTCCTGGATGGAAGATGGGATAACCCAGCAGGAGTTCTGGCTTTGCCCCTCACCAGTCATGAATCACCCTGTCATGTCTCTGAGGCCCCAGGAGCTCAGGAGCCCACATACACCTGCTGGACCTTAGACACACAGTTACTCAACTGCCAACATGTGGCAGACTCATATTTTGGCAAGGCCACCCAGTCTGGAAGAATGGTCTGTCTGTTCTCCTGGGAGGGGTCTATAGCACGCTGACCTCTGTTAGCATCTGCATGTACACAGAGCATCAAAGGTCAGGATCCTTTGTCCTGAGCAGGGCATGAGGACTCCACATTTGGGGATGCCCATATTCCTCTATGCAGAGGTAAAACCCCCTCAGACCAGCCCCAGTCCCTCCGGTTGCCTCTTCTGCTCCCACTTCTCCCAGGCCCCCAAGCAGCCTAGGCAGTCTGCAGGTGGGAAGGCCCCCAAGGCCAACCTGGGACTATTAAATGCCCCGGAGAAAGTGCCAGGTTGTGGCCTTGGACAGAGCCCTGGAATTGCTGCCCCTCCCCTGCCGGAGGTAGGTGTGGGTCTGGCCTCTGCCGATGGGCTCTGCTCAGGGTCTCAGCCCGTACCAGGCTGTGCTCTTCAGCCTACCCACTTCTGAGACTGCACCTGGGGCACCGTGCATAACTTCAAACGGTTGGGCATCACAGAGTTCCTGTTCTCATGGCACAGTGTGCGGGGCCACTCCGCGCAGAAGGTGAGTTGACCCCATGGAGGACTTAGTGGGTTGCAGTAATAAAGGAACCCTCACACCCAGGGGTGCCTGGGTGGCTCAGTTGGTTGAGTGTCTGACTCTTGGTTTCGGCTCAGGTGGATCTCAGGGTCATGAGATTGGGCACCCGCATTGTGCTCCCCACTCAGCATGGAGTCTGCTTCCCCTCTCCCTCTCTGTCTGTCCCTCCCCCCACCAAATAAGTAAATCTTTAAAAATAATAAAAATAAAGGAAACTCACACCCAGACAGGCACTCACAGATGTCAATGCATTCAGGGCACCCCACAGGGATGTCACCAACTCAACCAGCCCTTGGAGGAATGGGCCCACTGGCAAGGAGGACCGGGCCTTGGATGGGGTCAGGCTAAGTCGATGACCTCAAACAGCCAGCCTGGGCTGGACTCGTGAAATCGTGAATTCACTGACCACCTCGGCTTGCTACTTCTTGAGGCGACAAATCCATGCCATCAAAGTGACTGTTGGTCTTCCTGGTGACCCTGACGGTGGGACTGTGTGTGAGGTACACCCAGACCACCCCTCCTCCCAGCGCAGGCAGGCGCAGAGTTGCAATCCTGCTGCAGCATAGTGGATGAGGCCTTGCCAAGAGGCTTGAGAACTTTTTCTCTCTCTCTCTGATGAAGAGGATGCCTGTGGCCAAACTCTTGAGAATCTTCTGGGGACAGGAGGGTATTTAGAGTCCTGCCTGGGCAGAAGCCCAGTGGACAGGTGCTGGGAGAAGAGGTGAGCAGGGATGGGGCTTCCCCAGGGCAGGGAGGCCAAGCTGGGCTGAGTGGGCCACACCAGGATGGACCCCTGTATGCAGCCCTCAAATGCTGACACGTGGGTATGTCAGAAAACAAAAGTCCTGCTCATAGGGAGCTCACACTCTGCAGGAAGTCCAACGTATTAACAGTTGCTCCCAGATCCAGTCTTGACTCCCTGTGCAGCCTGGGAGTCTTTCAGAGCTGGGCCTGGAGACAGCAGCTGTAGCCTCCCACCCTCCTAGCCCTCCACCAACTGACCTCTCACCTCCAGTTTCCCTCTGCCTCCAGGCTTTCTGTGCTGAGGGTCCCCACCTGAATGTCCCCTCTTCTCCTTCAACTTCCACCTGGCAGTCCTGGCAGAGAGCCCACGGGAGCCCATTCTGCCCCATCATGCTCATCATGCTCAACTCCAAGGCCCCTCCCACATCCAAGCCCACTCCTCCCCCAGTACCCACTCCCCCCCATGGGAGCCTGACCGCTGCCCTACGACTCTGAGGACAGCACATCCTAATGTCTCTATCAGGACTGTGGACACAGGTCTGCCCAGGCCAAGATAGCTGACCATGCAAAGAGTAAACATGTGACCAGCCGAGTTGGGATTGACCCTCCAGGGCCTATACCCCCACAATGAGGAGCGTGGGTCCCTAAGGCCTTCATGTGGGATCTACGCTGACTATGAGCTGATGTGGACAGCAAGACTGTGGTCACAGGAGGAGGGAAGCACATTCACATATAAGCACACAGTATGGACACACACGAGCACACAGGAAACCCTACACTCTCAGGTAAGGGTCTCCTCGTCTCTCACACTCAGCCCCTGCTGGCACATTCCTGGGACGTAGGGGTGTAATGGGACTGGAGCTGAGTCTGCATGCTGCACCCAGCTCTACTACTCCACTCTGGTCATCTCCCTGACCTGACATCTGAAAGAGGGGGTGACTGGTGCTGCAGAGGCTTGTGCCATGAGGGATGAGGACCACGTGGGGCTTTGGCACCCACATCCACCCAGCAGGGCACCAGCTGCGTCCGGGGGTCCCCCCAACCCCGTTTCCACCCCAAGCCATGTCCAGGCAGTAGGCTGGCAATGTCGACAGGGAGAGAAAGGGGTGACACCAGCCCTCATGCCCATTCACTGGGATAGATTCTTTGGTCCCTAGGGGCCCTGGAAGACTCTGCTCCTGCCCTTTACTTGGCCCTACCTTGGAGTGGACCCCCCAGGTCCTGCACTCTGGGCCCATTTATGGAGAAAGCATCTAGGGTGTGCCAGGCCTGCCTCACCGTGCTGACCAGGGCACATGTAGCCACATCTTACCCTGACTGCTCTCCTCTGAGCCAAAGGGAACCCACAGATTTTGAGCCCCTATCTCATTTTTCAGATGGAGAAACTAAGGTCCAAAGAAGGGCAGAGAAGACTGGGTCATTCAGTGGCTAGCCAGGAGGACCCAAATCTCAGGCCCCTGCAGAGTCTGCCGTCCTTACCACCTGTGTCAGCCTACCTCAGCATAACCCGGGCCAAGAAGGGTCCACAGCCCCCGGCAGGCTGCTCTGGGGCAGGTGCTGCTCTCTGTCCCCAGTGATGCCAGCAAGTGGGTGTCTTCGTCCCTCCTCAAGAGGGGCCAAGCAAGCAGAGCCAGTGGTAGCCAGACTCCGACCCATGTTGCCAGACCAGCAACTTCCTCTGTACGACATCAGTGTACCCAGAGCACCCTGTGTGTTGAGCTCATTTGTGTCCTTGTATTTGTGTCTGAGAAAGTGTGTGTGTGTCCCAACTTCTGTGTAACACAGCAGGTGAGTATCGTGTAACCAGTGCTCTCCAGCAGCGTGTGCCCTGTGGGTGCCCCAAGTCTGCACACCCACGGGAGAACGTAAGGTTGACCCTAGGTCCTATCTCTTTCTCCTTTAAATGGCATATGTTAAGGTCAGTGAACAGACTGGGCTCGGAAACATCTCTACTCCTGAGACGGAGACGGCATGGCCTGCCGCCAGCTCGTGACTGGCCAAAGGTAAGGCATGTCCTCGCAGGGCAGCCCCTCCTGTGTCTGACCTGCAGCTGGAAACAGACACATTCCTCCCAGAAGCTCCGGCCACTCTTGCAGGGAGTCTGGGGGAGCCCCAGCTGACTCACCACTGACCTTTGACCTCACAGGTTAACCCTTCCTAAACCAGACCCTTGCCCCAGCCATGCTGTCTTAGATATGACAGCTGTATCCAAATGGAGCCCATGGTGCAGGCCTGTGTGTCTACGGATGTTTTTGCACAGGTCTTGGTGTCCTTCCTCTGGCTGTGCTGTAAGTGAACACATACACTGTCCGTGCACGTGTGTGGTCAAGATGTCAGCATCCGTGCAAGCCCCTGTCCTGCGCCTGCGCTTTTGAGAATGTACCCTGTCATACGTATCTGTTGCGGGCTTCGGGTGCTTGCCTGAGGACACGGATGTGTACACAAGGATGTACTTCCTCAGAGACGTGTCAGCTGTGCTCACACCTGTGTGGTCTGTCCCTGCATGCCTTCCCGTGCCTGGCATGTCTGGGCCTGCTCTCCCACCCTGACAGGCACCCTGGATGAGCTCAGGAAGACTAGGCTGAGGGAGCAGGCCCAAGGTTGCACCTGAGATCCAGAGACACACTGCTTTCCTCTGCATCTCCCAGCCTCACCTCTGGATCCCTCTCCCTGGGGCTGCACATCTGGTGCTCAATAAATGACTGGTGAAGGAATGGATGAAAAGGGGCTCTAAGGGGCACAGTCTGGAGATGGGGGTAGGCAGGCCCTCCAGGATGGGAGGGAGGCTACTGGCAGGAGCGCCAGTCGTGGACTGGGTCGGAGAGCTCCAGAAGAGGCGGTCAAGGCTGGCCGAGCCTGGGTTGGGGGCAGCAGGGTCTGCGGGCCGCCCCGCGCGCTCCCCGGGGACGTCTCGGGTCACCGTCTGCACCGCCCGGGCCGCGCCGCCCCGCGGGTCATTTATGACCCCCTCCCCCTCCCTGGCGGCAGCGGCCACGGCGGGGGCTCAGGCCTCGGCCCAGCGGCAGAGGGTCCCCAGCGGGGGGACCGCCAGCAGGGAGGGCGCCGCCGTGGCCGCGAGGAAGGCAGGGGCGGGGCCTCTGAGGGCCAGAGGAGGGGTTTGGGCAGCCGCTCCCACCTGCGTTTCCCAAGGAAGGTGCCGCCAGGCCTGAACTCCAGGCGGGGGAGGTTCTAGAGCCAAAATTCTGTCCTTCTGACCTCTGGCTCCAGTCAGAAGCGCAGAGCAGGTGCCAAACCAGGACACAGGTGGACAGGAGGAAGAAAGTGAGCAGATCCTTGTGGCAGGGGTAGAATGCCCAGGAGTAAGGATGCCTGATCCCTGTGGGAAAGTGGCTCTGATCCTGTGGGCAGAGAGGTCTACTTCCCATGAAGAGGGGGAAACAGGTAGGGGTGGGGGTAGGGGTGAACTGATCAGCCAAAGCCCTAGAAGGGGGGTCTCCTGAAAGTCAGGGTGTGGCCCTTGGAGGAGAAGGGGTCCTGCAGGGAGCTTTGAACCCAGTCATGGTCATTTTAGGAAGCCCCTTGATCCTCCAGAGAGAGGTGGAACCAGATAGTAGCATGGAGGTTAGGCTGGGTGAGCTAGGTTAGTTTAGCCCCCTTACCTTGCCAGCTGGGTTCCACTTCCGAAAGCCAGAGTTGGGGCCTTCTTTGCCCCTCCTTCACCACTGTGGGCCTGTTCAGGATGAAAGAAGTCAGGGGTGAGTCAAGGGTGGTCCTGCAGAAGGGAAGGGAGGCCCCCTCCACAGGCTACATGGTACCTTCTCAGATCTAGAGATAAACTTCACTAGCCTTCCCTCCCCAAACCTCAGTTTAAAGGTCAAGGGTTAGGAGGCCTAAGGGTCAGTAAATAGGTGCAGGCAAACATGAGAAGAACTGAGTGGAGGGGACCATCTTTTGAAAGCGGTGTCAGGGCTGTAGCCAGACAGTTGGCCTCACGCTGAGCCCTGATAACCTCTCCACACTGTGCCATGACCACAGCTTAGCATGATGGCTCCTCTGTGGGCCTTGGCTCTTGGGCAGGAACAGCCTCCTGCATCCATTAGACATGGAGGCAGCACCCCTGAGAGCAAGACGCGGACCACAGAAGGTGAGTGTGCACCTAGGGTCAGGCATGTGCAGGTGTCCAGTTTGCACGGAGGGCAACTGGGCTGAGGGTGGCACACCATATAGGACCACTCACTTTCACACCCACATTCACACCTGGCCCCTTAAATCCCAGCAGGCAGATGGACAAAGAGTAGAGCAGAAGGGGGATACAGAGGTTTGGGTGCATAGGTTCCCAGACACGTTCCTGGTCTCAGCCCAGACCTTGCTCCCCGAGTCAGTCTTGGGGCTGGCTGGTGCCTTGGTTGCAGATGATCTTGGCAGTGTGCATCAGCAAGGGAGAGCAGAGCAGTAGCCAGTGGTCAGGCTCATGCCCAGCTGGTGCAGGTGCCTGGGAGGAGGTGGGTGAGGGTGGGGTGCTCCCTCACTCCCATCACTCCCTTGCACAAGGTGCTCATGCAAGCACACCTGTGGTCCAGCTCAACCCCCCAGAGCCCGGTCAGAGAGATGCCCACAAAAATTCCGTGCCAAATGCATCTCAGTGGGGGTCTAGGCGCTGGGATGGGATCTGAGGCTACTTTCTAGCTTGTTCAGAATAACACATCAGAGAAAGACAAACCTGTCTCATCAGCTATTAGTAGGTTTCTGTTTCTCTTCCTAATGCTTCTACTGCAAGGCTGGCATGCTGGCATGCTGGCCTGCAGGGAGATGGGAGTTGAACACCAAGGGACAAGCCACCCTCATGCCAGGACTGGGCCAAGGCTGACCTGCTTCCTCAAGGCACCAAAGTGGACATGAGTGTAGAGGGTTCCTCTTCCCCAGACTGGCTCATACTAGGGAACAGAAATGTGCTCAAGTGTGCAATCTCGCACTCATCGGCCCCTCTTCCTCCCCACATCTTCCATCCCTCAACCAGACTGCGTCTAGCCCACCTTCCTGCCCCACAGCATGGCTCAGATATTGTTTGTCCTGGAGTCAGAGAGCCTGGATTTAAAACAGCTGTATGACATCAGGAGAGTTCCTTGACCTCTCTGTGTCTCACCCTCCTCATCTATAAAATGAGAATAAGGAGGAAAACTCATATTGAGACGATCAAGTGAACTAAGGCATGTAAAGTGCAGAGTAGTAAGGCGGCGGTAATTGACAGCATCGTTGTCCTGTTGTTCACAGAACATGAAACCTGCCCAACACATTTGCAGAGGCCACACACCACAAACCCACAGCCTCACACCCTGCAGATGCAGAGGAGACCAGCCACGCCGGACACTGATGCCCACCACCCACCGCTGCTGTGAAAACACTCCTACCCAGAACCGCCAGGCCAGCGGGCCACTCCTAATCGCAGGTCCCTCCTGCGCCAGGAGCCCACTCTCAGTCCTGGGCCCGCCCCCTCCCCAAGTGTAGTCCGGGCTCCCAGCTGCGCCCCATGACTCCCTCAACGATGGCGTGGTCGGTGCGCGCAGCTTCTCCCTAGGGTACGCTCCTTCGCACACCCTCGCGCGCTTGGAAATAGGGCAGGGGCGCAACCCTGTCCCACCGCCCCTGTCGCCAGACCTGCTGGAGCCCGCGCCCGCCCGCCCGCCGAGCCGGGCCGTTTAAATGGGCCAAGTTGTGGCGGCGGCGGCGGCGGCAGTCTCCCAAGTCCCTGCCGGGCGGGCGCGCCCCAGTGTACGCGGGTGCGCGGCAGGGGCGGCGGGGCGGCGAGGCGGGGCTGGGGCCTGGGACCCCCGGGCGGGGCGGGGCGCAGGGCCGGAGACTTCTGGACTCCACTGCCCGGCTGGGCCCTGCGGGCGGACCAGCGAGCGGGGCCGCCCCAGGGGGCGCGGGCGCAGGTGGCCCGGGGCCCTGTGGAGCCCTGGGGCCCCGGGGCTGCGGCGCTCGGCAGGTCGATAGGGGATCGAGAGGAGCTCCCGCAGCACCATGTCTCCGGCAGCCAAGGCCCCGGCAGCCGGCCGAGAAGCGGCCCGTGGTGGCCCGGCGGGCGGCGCGGCCGCAGGTGCCGGGGCGCAGTAGCGGGTAGGGCGGGCGCGCGGCCGGGAGACTCCCGGGCCCCCCGCCCTCGAGACCCTACGCCAGCCCAGGCCCGAGCAAGTGGCGCCGGCGGCGGAGAGCCAGGCTACAAGGCCACCGGCCCGTCACGCCAGCGGTCAAGAAGGAGCTCCCAGGCCGCGAATCCCGGGCCCTGGCTCTGGCCACCTTCCATCCGACCCTGGCCGCACTGCCACTGCCGCCGCTCCCAGGCTACCCGACACCGCTGCTGGCCGCGGCCGCCCTGCCCCCGGCCGCCTCGCTACCCGCCGCGACCGCTGGCTACGAGGCGCTGTGGGCTCCACCACTCCGCTCCCCGCGCGCCTACCTGAGCCTGCACAAGGCCGCCCCGCACCTCCACCTGCCCCGGGGCCCTCTGGCCCCCGAACGCGTCTCAGCCACTGCGGCCGCGGCCCCGGATTTCCAGCCGCTGCTGGACAACGGCGAGCCAGGCATCGAGGTGGAGCGCGGCGCCAACCGCGCGCTGCTCTCCGTGCGCAAACTCTGCCGAGGCAGCAAGGGTCCGTCCATCCGCCACCGCGGCGAGTGGCTCACACCCAACGAGTTCCAGTTCGTCAGCCGCCGAGAGACGGCCAAGGACTGGAAGCGCAGCATCCGCCACAAAGGTGCGGCCGCGGCGGGGGCGCAGGCCGCTACGGTCCCTCCCCTCTGCTCCCCGAGGACCCCTGGGTCCGGACCCCCTCAATCTGCCACCTGGGAGACTCCATCTCCGCCCGGAGAGGGCGCTGCGACTCTGGGGCTGCCGCGGGGACACTCCCCCCCTCCCCACCGCCCCCAGCACGGTCGCCTTGGTGGACCCGAGCCGAACGCCCTCGGCCTCCACCGCCACCTCAGCTTGAGCCGCGGTGCTCTGGGCTCCCGGCTGCACACGAGCCGGCCCCTCCTCCCACTCGGAAGGTCTTTGCGGGATTCCTGGGCTGTGTGGCCCAGGGGAAGTTTAGGGGAACTCGGGAGACGGCGGGAGGCCGGCTGGGCGGGACCCGACTTCCCTCCTGGGTCGGGGAGCCACCAGGTTCCAGCGGGAGTAGAGGGGCCCACGGGCGGCCGGGGTGCGGGTGCGAGTTGCTGGAAGGCAAGGGAAGGTGGAGGGGTGTCGTGGGCAGGTGGGGGCCGCGGGGGCGCGCGCGGAACTGGAACGGCGGCGGGGCTGGGAGCATTCAGGAGTCTGGCTCCGATGGCGCGTTGCGAGGGCGCCGGAGCAGGCAAACGGGGGAAGCGCAGCGAGCGACAGGGGCGGGGGTGGGGGATCCTTAGAAAGTTGGGGACCCCGTCGCGCTGGGCTTTGAGGCTCGCGGCTCTGCTGTGGCCGCCCTTCTCCCGCTGAGGGCTCAGACACAGCCCTGGTCCCGGGGGCGCCGTGCACCTGCGCGCAGGCTCGACCTTCGTGAGCCCTGATCCCAGTTCCCCCGGACCGGCTTGGAGAGAGGGTAGAGAGCGGGAGGAGGGACGCAGGGGGCGGGGAGGAGGCCGCCCTTGGTCAGGGGACGGCGCTTGCCGGGATCTTGAGTTTCTGAGCCCCGCAGATCCCCGCGGCGTCCGCGAGGGTGTGGTGGGCGGCAGGGCCAGGGAGCGGGTTCGGAAGTTGGATGTTCATACACGTGCCAGGAGGGGGAACCGGCCGTGCAGCTTACTGCGCCCCGAAAGCGCGCCCGTGCGTGCCGGCTCTACCTGTGCCCCAGCCCTGCTCTCTCACCGGTCCTGCCTCGGCTCTCCTCACAGGAAAAAGTCTGAAGACGCTTATGTCCAAGGGGATTCTGCAGGTGCACCCTCCGATCTGCGACTGTCCGGGCTGTCGAATATCCTCCCCGGTGGTGAGATGGGGGAGAAAAGTTGGGGCTTTGGGTCTTCCTTCTCCCCTGTGGAGCTTGTGCCTGTTCTCTAGGATCCAGAGTCCCACTTCAGACAGGCCAGCGGTTGTTGAAAACACTGCCCTTGGAGCCCAATAGCTGGACCAGACAGGCCCTCGCACCTGCGGCTCAACCACTCTCTGCTCTTGCTGTTAGAGCACAGGGCCAAGGCCAGGGTCTCAGAAGGGGCCACAAAGCAGGCCATTTCATCTCTCAGGCCTACCCTCAGACTCCCACCCAGCCCCAGTGCTGTCCAGGGTCTCTCACTGAGTATGTTGCAGGGAGGAATACGGAGGGTGTCCCAAGTGGATTCATAAGGGCAAGTATGGGGGAGACTGTGGCTCGCGGTGGGGGGCCTGGAGAGGGGGGCAATTGTGGTCCCCAGACCAAGCGAGGGGAGAAGACTAGGGCCCCCTGACTCTGTTGGGGCCACTGACCAAATCTGGAGCTGGGGTGGGCTGGGTCTGAAGGGAAGGTCCCTTATTCTGGAGGGCAGGACGATGGTGGCTGCTCAGGAGTCCTTCAGGTCCAGGATGACACGGGTCCAGGGTGAGGCGAGACCCTCCTCCACACTTTCCTCCTCAAGCTCGTGGGTATGATGGCATTGTCCTTGCAACAGGAAAGAGGATGTCCGAGGGTCCCCAGGTGACTGAAGAGATGAGAGAGAATTAGATAATCCCAAGGTCCCTGCCACCCCCCTGAAACAGCAACCCCTTATTAAATAAGAAAAGGGTTCCTGCCCACCCGAAAATAATCAGTAACTTTTTTCTTCCACTGGGGCAGCAGGACCTAAGGACACTGTAGGGAGCCTTGGTGTATAGTGACCTTGTATAGTGTGCTCTGAGCACGGACAAGCTCGGTGTGGAGTACCCTCCATGTCTGTGCACAGGACATGCCTTCCTGCTCTGATCTCCCAGCACACAGCACACACATGAGCTCCACATCCGCACAACATGGGTGTAGGGAGGGGAGAAGGAGGTGTTGTGGAAGAAATGGAATCTCTGTTTCTGACCCAGAGGGTAGGCTCACTAGGGGCCCATGGGACAAAGGGTCTAGGTTGGTAAGGGCTCCCCATCAAGTGACCTGTGAACCCCGGGCCTGCAGTTTGCAAGGGGTCAGCAGGATCAGGCCCCAGACTCAGGCTCCAAACAACCTGAACTGGACCCTGCGTGGCACTAGCAGAATAGAAGACAGGACTTGGCAGTGGCTGGGGGTTCATGCAGGAGCTTGTGGGATGGTCCAGCAGACACAAGCACACAGAGGTAGCTGCACGTTGAACACGTGGCAGAATGCAGACATGCTGTGTTGTGCACACGTGGTCCCTGGGGCTCCCTGGGGCCGAGAAAGCTGGGGTCTGCCTCCGGGTGGGCACCCCCACACTCCGGCTAGAGTGCAGAGTCTGGACAAGGCAGTGTCACGAGGAGCCTGGCCAGGGCCTACAGCCCTTCACTGCACCCCGCTCCCCGGTAGCAGACCCGGGCCTCATCTTTCTGCTCTTGTCTTCAGCTCCAGCCACTGGGACCCATGTGGACCCTCGGGCCTGTCCTGTGGGCTAGAAGCCCTGTAGCGGGGCCAGTGATGGTGCCTATTTGATCTTAGCAGCTGCTCTGAGGGCTTCCGTCACCTGCACCCTGCCTGAGGCTTGGGCCTGGAGTGCACAGCTCCCAGGACCCTGAGGGTCCTGGCTCAGCCTAACCTTCCTCTCTTCCCTCCCTGCCCAGAACCGGGGGCGGCTGGCAGACAAGAGGACAGTTGCCCTGCCCACTGCACGGGTCCTAAAGAAGGAGCTGACCCCCAGCTTCTCGTCCCGTGATGGTGACAGCGATGGCAGTGGCCCAGCCTGTGGGCGGCAACCAGGCTTGAAACAGGAGGACACCCCACATGTCCCTCTCATGAGGAGAAGGCACTTTTACTGGGGGCCAGGCTCGGGGGAGGCACCCGGGCTCTGGTCGGGACATCAAGACTGGTGTCTCCAGGTAGCTGAAGGCCAGGCCAGGGCGAGGACCCTTTGCCCTGGGGACAGGGCCCAGGTTGAGCTTGTCATGTCTGCCGAAGCTGAAACAGCCTGAACCCCTGACGCCACAAGACCATAGTGAGAACCTACCCTGCCCCCACTTGGAGGGAGGCGATCGACGAGGTTCCATGTGGGGAAGGAAGGAGGCTCTAGGAAGGGCCAGGGGCTCTCGGAGGAGGGCAGTCAGGGAGACCCAGGAAGGGAGGGCCTGATACCACCACAGCCAGGCGGAGAGAAAGGAGCTGAGCAGCCCCCTTCCCGGAGCTGTCCCTGAAACTCTCATGCTCATTCTCCTTGGCAGGAGGCAGCTTTCCTGGCTACCCACTGTCCCTTCCAGGCTCGGGGCCACTCTTCCTGACTTCCCACCATCTCCTCTCCTGGCAGAGACACCTCCCACTGTCCACTCACCTCTTCATGCCTCCATCTATCTGTTGTCGGTCCATTCATTTGTCTGTCCATCCAGCACATGTTACTCACCCCCAGAGTTTCTAGGCCTTTTCTCTTCCCACCTAGTCTTTCAACGTGTTCCAACATCTCCTGCCCTAAAATAACCCTCCCAAACCCCCAACACCCCCACTTCCCAGCCCTCCTACCCATGCTTGCTAAGGTGACACACCCACACAGGCTTCCAACCACCATCCCTCAGCCTGAGGGTCTTTCTGGGAACACTGCTATGAGTGAGGGGACAGGCAGAGGGCAGAGCTGTTTCCTTACTTGACCTCTCGTTTTGGCATCCCTCCTACCTACAAGTGCGGTGGTCACTTTCAGGAGGCAGACTGGTAGCAGCTGGGACCCAGGAAGCTGCACCCGCCTGGGCTGACTCTGGACCATTGGTGCCGGCAGCGGCCATGGGGCTTGCTCCCTGACCTGTTCCAGCCTGGCTGGAGCAGCTCTAGCAACTAGGAATTTGGTTCAGTTGCATGGCTGATCGCAGAAGAGGCTGCAGCTCCCCTCCCCACCCCCGCCCTCAGCACAATGTGGCAGCTCTCCTGGGTTCGCTGCAACAAGAAGGACAGGTGTGGCAGCCTCATTTCTGTCCTTCCCAATTCCTTTGTCTGGTGAGACCAGGAGTCGGCTCCTGCCCCACGGTCCTATCCTGGTGGCAGCCACTGGCTGGTTGAGCTGGTACCAGATAGCACTGGAGACAAATCCGAGCCAACCCAGTTCCCTTGGGGCCAGCGCTCTGGGGAAGATGAGGGCTATGCCATACACACACCCTGCTGTTCAGGTACCAGATCCTGGAGGCCACTTTGACCCTCCGCTTCTTTCCTTGCAGAGTCCACACCCACTGGGACGTGAACATCTCCTTCCGAGAGACGTCCTGCAGGTAGGGTCTGGGCTTATCCCCACACATCGTGCGTGGGCAGGATGGAGCCTTGTTGCTCCATTTCCCGTGGGTCTGCTTCTATATCTTTCCAGCCTCTCTCCCTTCCTCCCCTCCCTAGTCTGTGGTCTGTCGGTCGGTTTGTGCCCAGGCCCTAACAACAGCACAGGTGGATTCTGGGCAGCCTAACCCTCCCACATGGGACTGACCATTTGAGTCAGTCTGCCCAAAGATGAGGCCATGACCTCCCCCTCCCACCCTCCCAAAGACCCACCCGGAGATGAGGATGGTGATGTGTGCCTGGGGTCTCATAGGATGCAGAGGCGTTCACTAGGGAAAGAGGATGTCTGCAAAGATGTGGAAGAGCAAGGGAAGGGGATGTGGGGCTGTGGGGGGCTGGCAGGTCTGGTCCAACTGAATGCTAAAGGACTTTGGATGCTGAGCCTGTAGGACACGGTGCTCCAGGCAGTGAGGAGCCACCCGATGTTCTTGGGCAGAGGGGTGATAGAGTGTGTGTTTTGATGGGGTCCTTCTGGAGGAAGGAGGTTGGAGGTTTGCTCCAGTCTGCAGTGGTTCAGGCTGTGGAAGCATGATGGAAGGCAGGGGGGCGGCGAACCCAAGACATAGCAAGGAGATAAAAATGAGGGGACCTGATGAGGAAGTTGGGAGGGCACTGGGGAGACCCAAGTTCTAGATTCCAGACGAGCAAAGGATGGTCAGTCTGTGGATGGAGCCCAGGCTGTGGCTTCTGGTCAGTGGGGTCAAGTCCTACCACAGGGCTTCCAGGGAGGGTACAGGAAGGGCCCAGCCTAGGAGACAGTAGGCACCCAGCACAGGCCCAGCTTCCTCAGCCAAAGCTGAGGGGCCAGCCCCCAAGGTGGGAGCCTGTCCTCCCCACTCCCAGCCTGGTTCTGTGCCATATGTATTGTTATTTACGTCTCTGAAAATATCTGGGTCCTAGAGCCGAATTACAGTGAAAACATCTTTAAACTTATTTCTACCTCATTTTGAAGTTGCCTGCTCAATTGATCATTTTTATGAACCGTTATGAACATTGATGACATTTTATGAGCCTTTTGCTTGGGAAGCTACAGGATGAATTGGTCAGTGAAGCTTATAGCGAACCCAAGGGAGGTTCCTCCACTCCTGGAATGACTCCTCCTGCCTCCGGTAGCCCTTTCCTCACCCACCCCTGGCCTTGTAAAGTGAGAGAAGGTCCCAGGTGTCCAGACAGAGGGTGCCCCCGGTAAGGGGCCAAGTCCAAGTGCATGTGGGCTCCTTCAGTCCTGCACAGGCACTAGGGGTGTCTGGGATGATTTTCTGGATTTTACCAGAGAGGAGACTGCGGTTTCGGGGCAGGGGTGTAGCGTGCCGAGAGGACTTACAGGCTATCTGCCCCCACCTGCTGATGTGGCACCTCGGCTTCGGGCCAAGGAGGGCTGCAGGCAGCCTGGCTTGTCTCTTCCTGGCTCCTTTTGACGCTATCCCTCTGTCCTTCATCTCTAGTCTCCTGTCTGTTCTTTAGCCTCTGTCCATTCATCTCTCTGCTATACCCATCCTTTCTGTCTCTGCGTCCATCCATTCAGTAGTGCCTGTCTGTTCATCTGTCATCATCTCTCACTTTGTTTGTCCCTCTGTCTCCACCCATTGGCCTTCACCTGTCTGTCCATCCATCTGTCCATGGGTTCCATCCATTGGCCCACTTGCCTGCTTGGAGCTCCGAACCAATTTGGATATTCTGTTGCACTTCGGGACATGGACAGGAAGAGTTTTGCAGTTTCTGTGTTGTGAATTGTCCCTCGTTGATCCACAGATCAGCCCCACCGTGAACCTGAGTGGGCCCTGCCGCTGGGGGCGAGCCAGAGGCTGTGGGCGGTCCATGCTGACGGCCTGAGGAAGCTGGTGGAGCCGGGCCAGGCCCTCTCCTGTGGCCCCTCTCCCGGGGCACCTCCCAGAGGAACGCCTCCCCAGCCCTTCCCACACCTGCTGCTCACCAAGGTGAGCAGGGCCCCCCGTCCCGCCCGGAGGCTCCCCCTCACCTGCGGGCTGTGTGTCTCGGGCCTGGCACGTCCCCTCTCCGAACCTCAGGTGTCTGCTGGGGACCCTGCGTGCCACGAGGCCAGGCCCTACACACGGGGTTGCCGTCGGAGCCCTTGTCTCCGAGGTGGTGAGGGAACGCGGGGGACCGGTCAGGTGTGGAGCCATGGGTCTCGTGCACATCTGCCGCAGGGCTGGATCATGGTACAGGAGCTGTGGGCAGGTCGTCTGTGCACACCTGGGCATGACACACCTGGCTGGCCCTCTCGGTGGGGAGGCCTGCGTGCCTGGTGCACCTGTCCCCCACCTACCCCTGGAGGAGAAGCCACGTTCAAGCCTTTCCATGTCCGACCCTCAGGGACAGTTGGGAATCTGGGTCAAGAGAGGCAGGGACTGGCCCAGGACAACTGAGAGGTGCAGAGTACAAGGAGCTGCTCTCCAGTCCTAGGCCAGTCCCAACCCTCCCATGAGGTTTGCTTTGGGGGTGAGAGCCCCTCAGATCCTCGGGAAGAGCTACCCACCCCTTCCCATGTGGGGACATGACCTTAGCATCCCCAGGCACGTAGAGGCACGTGCACCTGCACACCCACCCCCCCACACCTCCCCCCCACACACACACCACTCTGACTGCCCAGCTCGGGGTCAGAAGGGGAGGACACCCTGGGAGCGAGGTGGGTGACAGGGGGGAAAGAAGGAACAGGTTGCAGACAGCTGGGCCATGGGGCAGGGCATCAGGACTCCTGGCAAGGACCCAGATCCATAGCATGGGGAGGGGAGACAGGCCAGGCTGAGGGTCACGGGTCCCCAAGGGGCCCAGGGGAGTTGCCAGGGCACTGGGAGAGGACAGGGTCTGGGTTCCGGTGTCCATCACCAGCCTGGGCACTTGGAAGCAGGAAGAGATACCCACCCCCAAGTCCAGAGGGGCTCCAGCACAAAGGCCTCAGCTTACTCTTCTGTCACTTGGGCTGTAGAGATGCAGTGTCCCTAGGGTCCCACAGGCTTGTGGGAGAGCCTGTTGGCCTTGGATCTCCATCCCCGACCCCCTGTGCTCCCAGTCCTGGGAAAATGCTTTGTACTCCCTCGAGGTCCTTCGGAGCAGGGGACAGACTGGGGGCTTGGGGGGCTGAGGACCTGGGTACGCAGAACGTGGCAGAGCACTGACCACTAGTCTGGGGACCAAGGCCAAGACCCTCCTTGTTGCAGCCTCCGGGTCTCCATTTGGAAGAGGTTCCAGATTCACTGCTCTGGTCCGGGTGACAAGGCCTTAGGAAGGAATGGAGCACCGGGACAGAAGAGGGAAACACGGACAAGGGAGGCTTCTGAGGTTTCTCACATCACCCCTGGAGTCCACAGATCCTGCTCCTGTGAGAGACACAGAGACAGAGACAGAAACAGAGAAGGAGACTGAGAATGAACACACGACAGAGGGAACCAGAAGTCACAGACTTTCCTCCATCAGCTTGGAAATGACATCCCAGCATTTGGCCCCATTCTCTTCCTGAGAGCGCGGTCACACAGGCCATCCACCCCGGAGGGGAGGGGATTCCACAGGGATGTGTGAGCAGGATGTGGGAATGCCCGGGAACCACTGTGGGGACTGCCCAGCACAGGAGCGCAGACGAGGCCCCGGGGCCTGAGCCTAAACCTAATGGGAGCCCCTGGAAGTGTGCGTCACCAGGGGACAAGGTCGGAATCCGTTCATTGCAACCTTCCCACAGGGGCTGGGAACAGGCAAGAAGGGGGTGGCTTTGCCCAGACCCCAAGGCAGACCCAGGCCCCTCTGAGCTGTGCTCTATGTCCCGCCCAGCCCCTGGCTCATCCTTGCAATCCCAAGTGTGCACCAGCCTCCTGTGACAGCAGGTCCGGAATGTATGTAGAGGTCCTACCCCTGATGGCGTCCGTAGGAGTAGAAGCCAGGACACCCCACTGTGCAGATGGGGAGCCTGGGGAGGCCCTGAGAGGCACAGGGTCTGTCCAGGGTCACAGCCCTGGGCACGCAGGGGAGCCCAGTCTGAAGCCAGCTCGGTGTCCTCACAGCGGGGACACCGGCTGCACCCAGGCCTTGGGAAGGCTGTGGGGGGACTGTGAGGGAGTCACTGTATGGATGGGGCATGGGGGAGGGGGAGCATTGAGCAGCCGGGGGAGGGGGCCCTCGGGGGCGGGGGTCTTGTGTGAGGAGGAAGTTGGGTAAGGGGACCCCAGGCAGTGGTGACTTCACTTCCCTGACAACAGAGTCCAACAGAATTTGGAACCCAGGTAACAAGGCACCCACATTCCAGAGACAGCCCCCTGTCCAGCTCATTTCGTTGGAGATCATCCAACCATGAACATGTGGGCTTGTTGCCTCCCTAAGTCTGGATGCTGCAGGCTGAAGAAAGCCCGCCCTGCAAACGCTGGCCCCCGCTGGGGATGTCCGATCAGGGCTCCCCACCGCCTCTGGCCGTTTGGCCGGAAGGCCCGAAAGGTGACACCAGGAGGCCCAGAGCCGGCCACCCAGCCCCACAGGGTCTAATCCACCTGTGCAGCCCCAGGTCCCCTCCCCTCCGTGTGTGTGTGTGTGTGTGTGTGTGTGTGTGTGTGTGTGTGTGAAGAGGGGTCATGTGGGTGGGCCAACGCCATTCAAGAGCAGGCTGATGAGGGGTCAGATAACCCGTGGGCAGGTCATGTTCAAGGTCCAGGCTGGCTGGGTGGGACGAGGTGTGGGGGGCTGTGAGCTTCTGCCCAGGGTTTCTCTCGATCGCCCTGCAGGGATGGGTCATTGTCCCGCGTGCAGGGCTGTGCACCCACAGGTGTGTGTCTGATCTGGGAGCAGCAGGGCGACTGGGCAGGGGACAGGGAGGTTGGCCGGGCAGGACTGGGATGCCTCCGGGCCGGCTACCCGTCCCTGTCTTTGCAGACCTCCGATGAGATCGGCACGAGGCTGGCGGACACCCACTCCATGTCCGGGATCCGGAGCGTGACCCCACAGGACTCCCCTGGAGCAGGTGCTGGGGATTGCGGGGAGAGGCCTCCGACACCACCCAGACCACTGTCCCTGGTGGTCATGGACTGCATTGTGCTCCAGGAGCTGGAGCCCACGGAGGCCGAGCCTGAGGCTGAGAAGCCCGGGGCTGGGTGCCCGTGGGTGTGTGCGGAAGGGTGGGGGCTGGCCCCACAGGGAGGAGCCCCCAGAGGCTGGTGTGGGGCCTGGAGCAACGACTGGGCTCAGAGCGCCCAGCGGGTGGACTGCGGTCGGGGAGACGCCCCGGGGAGGGCTCCTTCCTGGCTGCGGCTTCTCTGGGAGGCCCTGGGCTGGGTTCTGTCTCCACGGAGAGCAGGCTCGGGGTGAGCTTTTCTCCTCTCACAGCTGCTCCACCACCTGAGGAGCTAGAGCCGGTTCCAACTCCATCGGCAGCTCTGGACGGAGGGGTGGTGGCTGCGACTTCAGCAGGAGACCAGGAGCCGGCAGGTGACCCAGCACCCGCCCACGGAGAGCCTGACGGGGGCCAGGAAGGGCCTGCTGGAGAACCTGCCTCCGGAGAGCCTGCCCCTGCGCCTGCCCCTGTGCCTGCCAGAGCCGCCGCCCCTGCGCCTGCCCCGAACTGTGGCCCTGCTCCTGCCCCCGACCCAGCTCCTGCCCTGGATCCTGACCCATACCTACCCCTGCCAGTGCCCTGGTTCTTGCCCCTGACCCAGATACTGCCCCGGTTCCTGTCCGTGCCAATGCGGCAGACCCTGTCCCTCCCCTTGCACCTGCCCCCTCCCCTTCCCCGGCTTGTGCTCCTGTTCCGGCCCCTGCCCCAACTCCTGCCCCTTCCCCTGCCCCTGCCCCTGCCCCTGCTAGAGCCAATGTCCCTTCTCCTGACCCACCTCCTGCCCCTGCACCTGACCCTTCCCCAGCACCTGCCTGTGCACCTGTTCTTGTCCCTGACCCAGCTCCTGACCCTGCACCAGCCCCTTCCCTTACCTGTGCACCTGTTCTTGCCCCTGATCCGGATCCTGACCCAGCTCCTGCCCTGGATCCTGCCCCTTCCCTTGCCCCTGCCTGTGCTCCTATTCTTGCCCCTGACCCGGGTTCTGCCCCTGCCCCTGCCTGTGGTCCTGTTCCTGTCCCTGACCCACCTCCTGCCCCTGCCCCTGCCCCTTCCCCTACCTGTGTTCCTGTTCTTGTCCCGGACCCAGCTCCTGCCCTGGATCCTGCCCCTTCTCCTGCCCCTGCCTGTATTCCTGTTCTTGCCCTTGACTCGGCTTCTGCCCGTGCACCTGTCCCTTCCTCTGCCTGTGTCCCTGTTCCGGCCCCTGCCAGAGCCGATGCCCCTTCCCCTGCCTGTGTCCCTTTTCCTGCCCCTGCCAGAACTGATGCCCGTTCCCCTGCCTGCGTCCCTGTTCCGGCCCCTGCCCCTGCCAGAGCTGATGCCCCTTCCCCTGCCTGCGTCCCTGTTCCTGCCCCTGCCAGAGCCGATGCCCCTTCCCCTGACTGCGTCCTTGTTCCTGCCCCTGCCCCTGTCAGAGCCGATGCCCCTTCCCCTGCCAGTGTCCCTGTTCCTGCCCCTGCCAGAGCCGATGCCCCTTCCCCTGCCTGCGTCCCAGTTCCTGCCCCTGCCCCTGCCAGAGCCGATGCCCCTTCCCCTGACTGCGTCCTTGTTCCTGCCCCTGCCAGAGCTGAGGCCCCTTCCCCTGCCTGTGTCCCTGTTCCTGCCCCTGCGAGAGCCAATGCCCCTTCCCGTGCCGGTGTCCCTGTTCCTGCCCCTGCCCCTGCCAGAGCCGATGCCCCTTCCCCTGCTTTCCAGGGCCACTGCCCCTTCCCCTGGCCCTGCCTGTGCTCCTCTACTTGCCCCTGACCCAGCTCTTACCGTGGATCCTGCCCCTGGCCCTGCTCTTGTGTCTGGCCCTGCTCTTGCATCTGGCCCTGCCCCTCCTCCTGCTCCTGCAGGGCTCCCAGAACCACATCCAGAGCCCACATCCTCACGGGGAGAGCTCCTTGTACCATTACCCTTAGCTCCATCACCCGACCCTGATGCCCCGCCAGATTGTTTCATCCCCTCCCCCTATGTTCTTTCTCTCTGGTTCGTATTAACTGTTCTATTCTCTTTCCATGTCCTATATGCTGTTTATTATTTATTTTAAATAAAATTCATTGTTTTCAGTTGAACAAGCCCTGAGCATCAAGTACATTCCCAACGCTGGGCCACCACACCACAGAACATGGCTGTGGAATATCTGCTTCCCCAAAGGAGTCCCCGAACCAGAAGGCCTCCCTGGAAACCCCTAAGCTGCTTCCTCTCTCTGTTCCTTTACCTGTTCTGGATGTTTCCTGTACGTGGAATCACACAGAATGGGCCTTTGTGTCTGCCCCCCTATTTTCAAACGGGACTCCTTCTTTTCTGTGTTGACTTGACATAAAATTTCCCTTATTGGATGTTGAAATCCCTGAATGATTACAGATGAGATGTAACCATAGAGCCCCCTTTGGTAAATATGGACACAGTCTCGGGGTGGAGACCCCTGTTTCTGCTGGGACACCTCAGCCTGACCCCAGACAGGAAAGGGCTGGTTCCTCCTGTGACCCACAGAGAAACCAGGGAAATGCAGAGAGCTGGAAGACACACCCCAAAGGGCCAAAGCATTGCTCACAACCCAAGGCCACAGAAAGGTTTCCCATGCCTCTGGTCCAAACCATGCTCCAAGTCACTGGGTTCCACAGGGACAGAGACGAAATGCATGCAAGTCCAAGGGGAGGGGGACAGGCATGGGGGCAGTCAGAGATGCAGGAGCTCCCGGGGAAGGACTCTGGCAAAGGAAACCCTATGGAGGCAGCACTGGTCACCCTCAGCCTGGCAGGTGTCTGGTCTGGGGACCAGCAGCCCTGGCGAGAACGTGAGGAAACGGAGGTCCCCGGGAGAGAAGGGTGACGGGCACCCCTGTCTGGGAGAACAGTGAGCAGCACCCATCCCAGGCCACAGGTGCACCCATCACCTAGCGTGGGCAGCTCACTCCCACCGTGTTGAAGGGTACACCGTGTCCATCAACCTCTATTTGCAACAGAATCCATAAAGTGGAGTTTCTGGGTCAACACGTATCCAGTGTTGAAGGTACAAGCCTCAACTTCCAACAACCCAGGTCTGCTTGTCCACGTTGAGCCTTGTTTGGGAAGCAGGGGTGTGGAGTCCTGGGGCTGTGACCTGTGGGAGGGTTGGGGAGGGGGAGCTCTGAGTGGAGTGACCAAGGTACCCGGGGGGACCTGCCTCTCACGTGTAACAACATCCCGGGGCTGCTGGGGGATCCCACCGATTCACTAAACTGTGAAGTGCTACCACCTCCCAGGCACTGTTCTGGGGGTTGGGGACCCTGCGGTGAGGAAGCAATGAGAGGTCTGGGCCACA